TTGTTTGTTCAGAAGCAGCCTGTGGCTGTTGCACGCTGGGGTGGAAGCAAGCTCTTTTCTCATCGAAACTTGTTTTGTTGGATTTCTCTTTGCAGTACAAGTCAAAGAACGCATACCTGGAGAAAATCGATGGTTTCCGTGGCTACTACTATCGGTGGTTAAAAGTCATGGCAGCAGAGGAGACCCCCCACCCCTGGGAAAAATACAGAACAGCGAAACGGGCGGGGGATGACTGCAAGGACGAGGCTGTGCGGGAGCAGCCAGGGCAGACGTAGCAGCGAGCAGGAGGCCAAGTCCTGCATCTTCCTCGTGCTGGAAGAATTCGGAACTTGCTCCCTTAAACTGGCTTGTAGTAAAGCTGCTTTAATTTCCATGAACTCAAGTTCTTGCGGTAACTACATAATAAAATACTTGTCCTTGGTTTTAAGGAGGAGCAGCTAAGTTTTCAGGGAGTTTCCCTAAACTGCAGAGGATTAGACAGGCTGTAGTTTAACAAACGCTGTGCTAGAAAGAAGCAAAATCAGATGTAACAGTGGTTTAGCTCAGTGCTAGTTTGGTCTCTTTCCTGTGTTCTGTCTGTACCTGGGCATTTAGTGTGTGACCTGTAAGTCTCTACAGAGTGGCTGGCGTTCCTGAACGGACCTACGCACCAACACCTTAGCAGACTTGCAGTGACATTTAGCTTCCTTCTACTCTAGAACAGGGGAGAGTTTGTATCAGACTGGACGTTTGAGAACTGTATTTCCTTTCCACACAGCCTTTTGAATTCAGTTAGTGGAGAAAGAGGGATAAAAGCTGGCTGAAAACCAACCCACACTTAGAACACCTCACCGTACGTAGAGCAACCCTCCAACACACCAACCAAAACACATCCAACAGGAGAAGGGAGGCGCAGAAATGTTTCCCCAGAAGATGGCACCGCTCTCTCAGGAGGTCAAACTTTATTTTAAAATAAATGGCTACACAAAAACCTACTCCGAAACAACCACCGTGGTATATATGATCCAGGGGAATACGTTGCTGGCTTCATTGCTATACAGAAATATCCCATCGCACAGAAGGTGGCTGGA